TTTAGAACTGGCTGTACATGATACAAAAGAGGAAAAATAACATGCACAAATGATAATACTAGTAATATGGAAGAAATTGTTTAATCACATATTCTAGATGGATAATATCAAACTCTCTGCCAAAGACGACAATGGGTTGAAGAGTTTCCCCAAGACTAAAATGATTCAACGTTGAAATTGGTACGGATCTTGAATTAGATAAATGTACAAAATAGCATTAAAGAAAGAGAGAATTACAGAAATACACGCAATAGATTTAGATTCTGTCACAAAGACTAGGGAACTGGAACAAGAAGAGCCTATACATACCTAAGAGTCAGTGAAGGATATGGAATACAGGATAGCCAAATGAAGGGGGAAATAAGAAAAATATTACAGGCGTGTGCGTCTGGTGCTAAATACCGACTTAAATACACAAAGGCAATATCAGCCAGAAATACTGTGTTCGTGTAGTGCAATACCGTTTCAACATCCTTAATTGGGCCATAGCTGACATTAAGTGAATAGGTGTAAAAAAAAACGAGAATTCTTCTCACTTGCCATCGCATGCATCATCTTAAGGCTGATATTAATCGTCTGTATATGTCCAAATCCGAATGAGGCAGAGTATTCGTTCAACCAGATCTGTAATACAAAACTACAACAAACGGTCTTCAAAGATGTCTGGAGACTACAGAAGACTGGATGATGATCTGTATCAAAGAACATGAGAGGAATAAGCAAATTATTCAGTAATAAAGGAAGCCAAAAAATTCAAGAGGGAATTTCAAGTGGGTGAAGACGTGAAAATAAACAATAATGAATCTAGTTCTATTTCTATTTCACTGTTATATTAAACACATAAATGTTTTAACATAAAGATATTGAGCAAAAAGCGATTTATATAATACCAGGATTAATGAATGAATCCTCGATACCATTGAACGTCTATAAAAATAAAAAGGGAACAGATTAATTGAACGGTTCATTGACCTCCATTTTAGTTGTGAATACTTTATCACCGTTTTATTAAATCTCAATATTTTGTTTGAAGACTTTTTTTTCATTGCATTTCACTATTAAAACTATCTAACAATTGCCGTCATTTTATACTGCATTGGTACATTAGTAGTAGCAATAATTTTCATTATTCGCATCTCTAACATCATTTACGTCTGATTCCAGTTGTCAACGGAGAAAAGGAATATTTTCCCTTCTTGTAGTCCAATACCGTTTCAACATCTTAAATTGGGCCATAGCTGGCATTAAATAAATGGATGTAAAAAAAAACAAAAAACAAAACAAAACAAAACAAAAAAACGAGAATTCTAATCACTTGCCATCGCATGCATCATGTTAAGGCTGATGTTAATCGTCTGTATATGTCCAAATCCGAAAGAGGCACATGATTTGTTCAACTAGAACTGTCATCCAAAACCACAAAAAACGGTCTTCACAGATGCCTGAAAACTACAGACGATTAGATGATGATCTGTGTCAGAGAACATGAAAGAAATTAAGAAATTTATTCAGTAATAAAGGAAGACATCAAATTCAAAAAGCAATTTCAAGATGGTGAAGATAAACCATAATACACCTACTGCAATGGTAAAGTAACTAAAAAAGGAAGCAAAAGCAAATGCAATGTATCAAATGCAGAAACGATGGCAATACAAGTCTCTTCGTGTTCAATATTCTGTCAGTACCAAACAAGCTGATGTAGACAAACCCCGTACCCATCAATGGTTACATAGTGCAGGGTTAAATGCTGAAACTGAAGGTATTATTCTTGCTGCACTGGACCAATTCTTGCTAACTAGAAATTACCAAGCGCGCATACTGAAAAATTGTGTTGGCTCAAAACGCTTATTGTGTGATAAATATTTAGAAACAATTGACCATCTTGTATCAGGTTGTACTGTATTGTAACTCAGCTGATATAAAACTCAGCATCACAAACTGGCTATAGTGGAAATATACAATGCTTAAGGAAAGTGTTGCGGTACGATACACCTAATTTACATAGGTGGAGTACCGACCATATAAATATGGGTTGGTACCGGAAGACGCGTGAGTAAGAAGAGATCGAATCGAGAGACTCTTCCCGACTGCGATTTAGTCAACCATTCTGCAGGAACAGTCTTCCCAAGAATATACCAAAACTAACTGTAAATATTGTGTACCTTTTCCTTGTTTCAATACATTTTGTTTACGTACATTTTGTGTTGTATTATTATTATTCCATGCTTATCCAAGTTTCAACAGAAAGGATACTTAAGAAACTGATATGGATACCACGCAGACCCTCTTACAGGCATAGAAACTCTAACAATTTTATGACTTTACAATACACACAGAAAGAACAATCAGATATCGTGATAAAAGATCACAAAAACAGAATATACCTTTTTATTGACATCGCAGTGCCTGCAGTCGGTAATGTATCCTTGAAGATCTTCAAGGATATTAAATTACAAAGACCGTGAAATCGAAATCACCAACATGTGGCACGTGAGTGGTTCCATAATGCAAGTTGTTGTTGGAGCACTAGGATTGGTTGGACTTTTTGAAACTGGAAGAAATTAGTATAAACACAACCCAAACCCGGTTACGGAGATAGGGCCTGTAACAATTTTATGGGACTTTACAATTCACACAGACAGAATAATCAAAGCTAATTGCCCTGGGATCGAGATAAGAGGCTGCAAAATGTGCCTCCATATTGACATGGCAGTCCCTGCAGACTGCAATGTATCTTTGAAGATCTTCAAAAACTATCAAATTACAAGAACGTTTGAAATCGAAATCTCAAAAATGTGGCACATGAGAACATTAACAATTCCATTTATCCTTGGAGCACTCGGATTGATTGGAAAAGATTCCAATAGACTCACTGTAGGAATCACTGGTAGCCCAAGCCTTAAAAGAATAAAAAAAAATTGTACTCACAAATTTAGCTCACACATTGCGAATGGTTTTATCTATGTAAAATAGTCCATTATTTATGAACTGTTTGCAGGGGTTAACTTATATTGACCAAAGGAACAAAGAAAATTCTAACATGTTAATTACTCAGAGGAAGTATTGAAAAAAAGAAGTCTCAAAGGAAAAGCAAGAATAATCCGAAAAGTGATCGACAATTACTTATACAGGAAAGATAATGTCTAACTTTGCTGATTTCAAGCTTGTAGTGATAGGCAAACATCCTGTTCCACAAAGCAGCACAAGCTGTCCGTAAGGAATATACTCCTTACTAATGGAATACGAAAGGAACGGGTATAATTCGTCAGTGCATACAATATGGTAGGCCCTGATCTGGCATCTCGTTTACAGTCGCTTTCTCACAGACATACCGTCGCCTCCCTCTGTTTTTCTACAAATACTTTCTCGGTAACTGCCAGACGAGCTATTTTCGTTAGTTCTCAAACTGCATGAATTCAAGCGTGTTACTAGGTTGGCATCTCATTCCCACCCTTTCACTGTTGAAATGGTTAAATGTAGCCGTCTTATCTACTCCAATAGCTTCATGTCTTGCACTTCCCGACTGTGGAACTCCCTTCTTCTTACTTGCTTCCCTGATAGCTATAATCTCCAATTTGAATCCAAATCTCCATATGCCTTCATCTATTCCCTGTCCTTCTCTTCATCTTTACATCTTTCACGCATCTTTTCTCTTGCTCCCACTTTCTGTAACTCCTTGCTTTCTAGTGTCACGCCCACATTGCTTGCTACGTATCATGGTGGGTCTCAGTTATAAAATTTACGAGTGGTTGGACTAAGGAATGTAGCTCGTCAGAACATATGACATGTATATAGCGATAGAGTGTCGCGAGGCTTGCGACGTTTCGTCTGTGGGAAAGGGGTTGTAGGGTGGGAAATCATTCATTGCCCAAAAGACCGCATAGACTTTTTAAACTCAGTCAGGACAGGGAAGTGTGGACTGGACAGCTGGAGGCCTGATTTGCCAGCAATACCCCATCTTTTGTTCTGAACTGGCTCATACATATTTGGTATAGCGGTACAAAGGGTACAACGAACCGACCCTTATTGCAGCATATTTGGAATTTTTTAAACTACACTCACACATTCACACACGCCGTAGCCGGGGTAATCGAACCAATGCGAATTTGTCGACCCTTTCCTTAGCTGCATACTATGCGTTTGACCAGGTCTACATACTACTAGATTTAGCAATAG